GCCTGAGTGATCACTGGAAGGACAGATCCTGAAGCTGAGGCTCCAATACTTTGGCCATCTCATGAGAAGAGAGGACTCCCTGGAAAAGACCCTGATGTTAGGAAAGTGTGAAGACAGGAGGAGAAGGGGACAACAGAGGATGAGATGGTTGAACAGTGTCATTGAAGTGATCAACATGAATTTGGCCCAGCTCCTGGAGGCAGTGGAAGACAGGAGGGCCTGGCGTGCTCTGGTCCATGGGGTCACGAAGAGTCGGACACGACTAAACAACTAAACAACAACATAACTATTACATCATGGTTTTTCAAAATGCTTGCAATTTCCCCAAAAAAAGTTTCATCTGCATCCTCTCCTTTATTGGGCAGCCAGTAGTAGACTCCAGCTACCATGTTCCTTTTGTTATTTGTCCCAACAGCATTGATTCAGAGGCTCTCAATGGGACAGCCAATCTTCTCCTGTATTTCTATGCAGGAATGTATATTTTTGAGATACACTGCAAGTCCACCTCCCTTTCTATTTTTTTTCTGTTCTTTTTGAATAATTTATATCCTTCAATTGCTGTATTCCAGTCATGGGAGTTGTTCCACCAAGTTCAGTTATTCCAATCAAGATTTCCAGTTCTTCTTGTTTTTTTCTCATGCTCCTGGCATTCGTATATAGAAACTGGACATTGTGCAATTTGTGGCCTGCTTTTGTTTTACATTTTTATGAATATGATTATTAATTTTAAAGTTATTATTGTCCCCCATTAGAACTGTTCCTCTTATTGTACATAAGGGTTCATCTATCTTTATCTCTGTGCTTGTGTCTCCCTCCCCCTTCCAATTCAATTTAAAGCCCCCCTTTTGAGGTTCTTCATGCTACAACCAAACACATTCTTCCCAGTTCTTGTGAGGTGCAAGTAATTTCTTGCTGCCAGTCCATCTTCCAGGAAGCTTAGCCCATGGTCCCAAAAACCAAATCCCTCATGTCTACACCACCGTCATAGCTAGTCATTCACCCAGAACATCCCCCTTTCCCTTTCTATTCCTCTTCCAAGTTCTGGTAGGATGGATGAGAAAACTATATGGGCCCCCAAACACTTAAGTTTCTTTCCCTGAGCTTCAAAGTCTAATTTGAAAGCTTAAAAGTTGTTCCTGGCTGTTAGAAGCTATTGAGACAGGTGGAAAAATGCCTGAGTCATGGAAAGAAGCCCACATATCTCTAATACATAAAATAGGAATGGAAAGGAATCAAATTAAGAATTACAGACCAATTTCCCTGCTAAATGTGGATTATAAGATCTTTGCCTCGATTTTAGCTAATAGGCTGAAAAAGGTCCTAACCTTGATGATACATAAAGACCAGATTGATTTTCTACCTAAACAGAAATTGGCTGCAAATATAAGAACAGTAATAAATGTACTGGAGTATTATGAAGCCCATCCAGAAAAGCAAATGATGCTAATCTTTTTGGATGCAGAGAAAGCCTTTGATAATGTGAACTGGGACTTTATGCTGAACCAATTAAAGATGATGGGCATTCAAGAAAGCTTCTTTCAGGCAGTAGAGTCAATCTATTTGCAACAAAAGCAGGAGTCACGGTCAATGGCTAAATCTCAGAGGAGATCCAAATTGAACAGGGCACAAGACAAGGGTGCCTCTTATCACCTTTACTTTTTATCTTAACATCAGAAATACTAAACAGACAAATAAGGCAAAATCCCAGAATTAGGGGGCTGAAAATAAAGGGAGAGGAATACAAACTACAAGCTTATGCTGACGATCTGGTACTGTTGCTAGAAAACCTGGAGGAATCTATTAGAGAACTAATACCCACAATTGAAAACTCTGGTGCAGTATCAGGCCTTAAAGTAAATAATAAGAATAAAAAAGAAGTTTCTGATGAAAAATTTGACACAAGAAAATCCCAATATGGGTAGCGTCTTTGGAAGCTTTCACAAATCTTTCTCTGTTCTTGAAAGAATTGAGATATATGTATAAAGGGTGTTTAACCAAGGATCAACAACTAAAAATATTCAGGAGTTGAAGGAAATGGGTCTTCCAAAGGACTGGTGGCCGATGTTGAAATTACAATCAAGGTTTAAAAAAGATAAAATAATGGGATTTTATGAAGGGAAGGTACAGGTGGATGATTTATGGAGTGATAAGATTATACAAAAATGTATACTTTTTGTTAGAATATGATTTAGAAGATGAAAGGGTGAAAGCAGTAATGATTAAATGGGCACAAAATTTTGATTATAATATAGACACAGATGATTGGATTCGAATGTGGAAGGATAACTATAAACAGATTAAGCCAGTAAATCTGAGAGAAAATGTCTTAAAGATGTTTTATAGATGGCATCTCACACCTGTAAAATTGGCAAAAATGGTGTCGGGGGCTAGCAACTCATGTTGGAAGTGTGTTAAACAACCTAGGACTTTTTCATATATGGTGGCCATGCAATAAAGTAAAAAGATTTTGGAGACAGAAAAGCAATCAAGCATGCAAGACCCATTGGAAATGCACAGAAAACAAATGGAGCAGGTCGGAAATGCAAAGAAAACAAAGGAAAAAGCAAGGGAAGCATGCAGGACCCATCGGAAATGGGGAAAACCTCCACAAAAAGCAACCAAACCCCCCAAGACCCATCAGAAATGGGGA